TACCAGAGGGGTGTGGTGCTTCCCATACGAAGACACCTCTTCATGCCACTGGCCGGGCATGGGACTCCCGGGACTGGTCGTCTGCCACAGTTGGCCCGCTATCGCGACAGTCACAGTGGCCGAGACCCTTGGGGCCAACCAATCCACGGAAGGGATTGATGACAGCCAGGCGATGCGCTAATGCGCTGGCTGGGGGTCAGGGAGTGGCGGCACGGGGGATAGCTCCGGGACAGACCGGCTTTCGTCCGTAAACAGTCCCCGGCATGCATGGGAGGCTGTTCGTTGCTGCTTTTTGCTTTCCCGCGAGGTTTCATGTCATTTCGAATCTGGGTCGATGTCCTTACCCACAGTGAAAGCTGAACACCGTTGGCCGGGTGTTGGGACTGATGTGCCAAGTTCCTGTTTCTGGCCAACCCACAGAACTTCTGTGGATGACAACAGAGCAAATGGGCTAATGCGTCGTCTGTTGGGCAGGATCCTGTGCTCACCCGTGTCGACGATCCTCTCCCCCTGACCGTGCGGCCGGCGGTCACATAGGGGTGCAAGCTTGCCGAGCGGGGACAGCGCCAGTGCCCTGTCGCCCACTTGGGGTGGAAGGGCGAGGGTTGCACAGTGCCATCAGATTGCAGGGGAGGCCCTTGGATCATTGGATCCAATGACAACTGTATTGTCGCAGACTGTGTAGTAGTAGTAGACTAATGACGACTGCATGGTCACATCAATTTTCAATAATTAATTGCTGATTGCTTCCAACCAACATTAATTATAATAATACTGAATGTTCAGTCACGGTGTCATGGATTGATTTATTATAGCTCGCGGATTGGTTGGGAAGAAGGATGAAACTTATTATTATGTAGGACGACATTGACTGAGAACCGAAGGCCGTAAGTTAAACCCTGGGCCCTTCGAATCAGAGTCTAATCAGCAGCAGCCTTGACCTGACCTGTGCAGCGGGCTGGCCGAGGGGGCCCTAGAGACCTGCCAGGTTCCACCTTGTGGCCGTTGGTGGGGGCAGCGATCCATCCGCCGGACCTTGTTGATGCCACTGACGCCACTGCGTGGCCACTCGTGGCGGCCACCCTTGAGGCCAACGCCCCAAAGCCCGGGGGTATGACAGCGGGGCGATGCGCTATGCGCCCGCTGGGGGTGGCCTCAACGGAGGACGGTGCGTCCGGACCTCCCCGGGGGGATCCAAAGAGGGAGGCCTAATAATAGTAGGCCGAGAGGTTCGGAGCCTCGCTCTTAGTCTCGGCCTGTCTTCATAATTTTGCTGTTAGTTATTAGTCGGCGTTAAGTAGTATTGACGTCCGGATATTAGGCCGAGAGGTTCGGAGCCTCGCTCTTAGTCTCGGCCTCAGTCCTGCCTGTCTTCATTTACTGTTAGTTAGTAGTCGGCGTTAAGTAGTATTGAAGTCCGGATAGTAGGCCGAGAGGTTCGGAGCCTCGCTCTTAGTCTCGGCCTTGTCCTGTCAAACTCCAGAGTCGAAGTCAGAATCAGTCCCAGTCGTATGTCGAAGCTATGCCTTAGCTAAGGAGTCGGAGTCGAATCGAATCCTTGGCCCGCTATCGCGACAGTCACAGTCCCCGGCATGCATGGGAGGCCGTTGGTTGCTGCTTTTTGCATTCCCGCGTTTAGTCTGTTTTTGCATCCGATCCCTTTTTCAGAAGTCAGTATTATTATTTCAACACAGAGGTTAAATCATGAGTGCTGTGTGGACTGTGTGGAATCCTTTGGTCACTTCTTGAGGTTTCATATCATGTCGAATCTGGGTCGATGTCCTTACCCACAGTGAAAGCTGTACACCGTTGGCCGGGTGTTGGGACTGATGTGCCAAGTTCCTGTTTCTGGCCAACCCACAGAACTTCTGTGGATGACAACAGAGCAAATGGGCTAATGCGTCTGTTGGGCAGGATCCTGTGCTCACCTGCAGCGACAACCAGGGGCCCCTCCCTCTGACTGTGTTTGGCAGTCATGCGGGGGCACACACCGCCGTGCAGGGACAGCGCCAGTGCCCTGGTGCCCACTTGGGGTGTAAGGGCGAGGGTTGCACAGTGCCATCAGATTGCAGGGGAGGCCCTTGGGTCATTGGACCTGGATCCAATGACAATTATAATAATACTGTTACTACTACTCAGCAGACTCAGACTGTCACTGTGTAGTAGTATTAGGAGTGACTGCTGTAACGTTGACTGACTGCATGGTAATGGTCACGTCAATTTTCAATGTCAATCAATGAATGTTCAGTCACGACATATGACACGGTGTCTCTCACGAATTGACATTGATTGTCTTGTCAGTTATTATTACTCTTATTGTAATTACTATACAGATCTGATGTGGAATCGCTTATTATTATTATTATCATCACTTTGCAGACAGTGTCACTGTGGCTGTGTGGTTTTGTGGGAAGTTGAAATAAAATAAGATGATAAGACTAAGATCTATTATGACGTTGTCATTGTACGACGATTGACACTGAGAACCTAAGGCCGTAAGTTAAACCCTGTGAAGCAGAATCTAATCAGCAGCAGCCTTGACCTGACCTGTGCAGCGGGCTGGCCGAGGGGGCCCTAGAGACCTGCCAGGTTCCACCTTGTGGCCGTTGGTGGGGGCAGCGATCCATCCGCCGGAGCTTGTTGATGCCACTGACGCCACTGCGTGGCCACTCGTGGCGGCCACCCTTGAGGCCAACGCCCCAAAGCCCGGGGGTATGACAGCGGGGCGATGCGCTATGCGCCCGCTGGGGGTGGCCTCAACGGAGGACGGTGCGTCCGGACCTCCCCGGGGGGATCCAAAGAGGGAGGCCTAATAATGGATAGTAGGCCGAGAGGTTCGGAGCCTCGCTCTTAGTCTCGGCCTGTCTTCATAATTTTGCTGTTAGTTATTAGTCGGCGTCAAGTAGTATTGACGTCCGGATATTAGGCCGAGAGGTTCGGAGCCTCGCTCTTAGTCTCGGCCTCAGTCCTGCCTGTCTTCATTTGCTGTTAGTTAGTAGTCGGCGTTAAGTAGTATTGAAGTCCGGATAGTAGGCCGAGAGGTTCGGAGCCTCGCTCCTAGTCTCGGCTAAGTGCGGTGCTCACAACCATGGTGCAGCGCAGTGCCCAAAGCGGGCTCAGGGTGGCTCGTGACTAGCGGGTCACGAGGGTGCGTCGCTGATGGCCGGTGCTCCAGAGAGTGTGCATCAGCCGGCAGCGGGAGCCTCACAGGTGGATGATCTCCTAGAGGGAGTTCATCGGCCGAGCAATGCATGCGCCGGCGGCTCTCCTCCGAGTGGTGTGGAGTGTCGTCTGCAGTCAGGTGTTGATCGAGAGGATCATCACATGCACAACGTTGGCTCTCACAGTGCCATCTCCAGGCCATCACCAGGTGTGGTGGAGGCCGCACGCAGCAGGTCCCCGAGGCCCCGTGATGGGGCACAGTCGCAGAGAGGTTCTTCACATGACGAGGGCCATGTGAGTGCCGCCGATGTTCTGCGGGTTTTCGATGGTCTTCCTTCGGATGCCTTGAAGAGGGGTGCCGATGCACCTCTCCCAACTTCGAAATCTTATGCCACGGGAGCGTATGTTCTTGGTGGTAATGTAGGCCTGAAGGCCAATGCCTCAGCCAACCCGGAGGCGCTCAAAGTCTTTGCAAGGTTTGTGAGACAGCGTGCTCCGGGGTTTAAGTTTTCTTCGATAAATATATTTGAGGATGTTCGCACTGAGCGCCATCGAGATCAGTGGAATGCCAACTTGCATAACTTGGCGATTGCACTGACTGACTTCTCAGGTGGAGCTATCTTTGTGGAGCATGAAAACGGTCGAGACGTATCCGACCTTAATGGTGCACGAGGCTCTCGCTTGCAGGTTGCTAAGGGCCCTGTCCGATTCAATGCCAGACACAATTGGCACTACACCGAGGCGTGGCAGGGCCGTAGAGTCTTGCTGGTTGCATTCACCATCCGTCATGTTGAATCGCTGTGCAAGGAACATCTTGACTTTCTCCGCGAGTGTCATGTTGATGTTCCGAAATGCGCGCCCGAGGGCGCGCGGTTGGCGCCTGCTGAAGCGTGTGCTCGTCAGCCGCCATCCTTGACCTCCCCCGTAGCTCAGGAGTCGCTTAGGCCCTTGCCCGCTTCGGTTGTCCCCGCCGTTGACCCTAAGGAACCTGTGAGCGACCCTGCTAGTCCCTTGAAGCCCGGTTCTGCTCTCTATGTCGAGATAAAGTGTGGGTCCGGATTGCTGCCGGCTCGGGTGCGGCGGGACGGATTTCAAATCATAGCGCTTGAACATTCTCGCCCCGCTGGGCGAGTGCACACTCACCTTGTCCCGGTGGACATTGAAACGGAGTCGGGTTTCTCCTTTGTGCAGACTGTCATCAGCCACGATGCCCCTTTTCACGTGCATTTCTTTCCTGCGACCAAGGATTGTTTCAAGGCTACTTTTTGCGCCGGGCAAACCATTCGCATCGCCAAACTCTTGCTTGCATCTGATTCGCATTGGAGTGTCTTGCATCCCCTGGCGTCAGTCCTGTGGAAACAGCTCGACTTGCCCGACAACCTCCATTGCGTGGACTTCTGTGCAGGTTGCTACGGGGCTCCCAGTCCTGTCAAAATGCGTCTGTGCACAACCCAGGCCGCGCTGGCTGGCATGCCGGTGCCAGCATGTCGTTGTCGCCCCGGGCCCCATGCTGCGGGCTCGCTTTCGCCAGATGCCTTGTACACTTCGAAATTCTGTGATGTGTTTGCTGGCCTCCTGCAGCTGGCGGTTGGCCAATCTGGCCTCTTACTTGAGCATGCTCTTCCACTGCAGAGTTCGCGGCATTCTGCCGTAGCAGCCGCTGGGCGGCAGCCGCGATTGTCAAAATTCCAGCCGCAGATCGCCGAGTTTAAGTGCCAAGCCACGGTCCGTGAGTTTCCGTGGCCCCTTCCTTTGGATAATAAGGGCAATCTCACCTGTGCCGTAGGGTCGATCCCTCCTGGCTCCCGCCTTCTTCGCGTTGTGTGTGATCGGGGGGTCGTCGGTGCGAAACAGGTCGGAAGCCTGTCAGGTGTGCCTTCAGCAGTTACCTTTGGCATTTACCGCACGGAACAAGAGTTTGTGGCTCAGGCATTGCATATCGATCATCCCTTCGACTTGTGCGTGGCAGTCCCAGACTTCATGTTGAGAGCGTTGGCTTTTACCTTGAAAGAGGGCCCGGTTGGTGTGATGAAGCACCGTCTGAATTTGCTCCAGCAGTGGACTTCTTGGAAACGCGATTTGGCTGGTGCCGAAGCAGAGCTGCATGCTGCCATGGATCCTGGTGTGGCTTCTGTTATGAAGGGCAAGAATATTTTGCTTTTGGAAAAAATTGCATCGTCTTTCGGATGGCCTGACACTGAAGTCTTCGAACACCTTAAGCATGGTTTTCCTTTGGTGGGGGAGTCGAGTCCTTCTGGCATCTTCGACGTGGACAGAAAACCGGCTCTGATGACAAGGGCAGAGCTTGTGCAGCATGCTAAATTCCTTAGGCCTGCGCTGTGGGCGAAGGTGGCGAACGCGGAGGTGGATGATTTAGCTCGGGAAGTGTGGGATTCCACACAGCAAGAGATGCTAGTCAAGGAGTGGCTAACCGGGCCTTACTCGTGGGACGAGCTGCAAGCCCGTCACCCAGAAGGCTGGCTTCCAGTGCGGAGGTTCGGCATTGTGCAAAAAGCCAAGACGAGGTCGATCGACGATTTGGCCGAGAACTCTGTAAACTGCGCTTACGCTGTTTCCGATCGGATTTCTTTGAGGGCCCTTGACGAGTTGGTCTGGCTTGCGATCACCCTCTTCAAGATCTTCCTTGCAAAAGGCGAGGTGAGCATCCCGTTGTCGGACGGTGACCATCTTCGCTTTCCGGTGCATTCTTTCTGGAGGGCCCTGAAACCCGAGGCGCTTCAGCCGAGCTTGAAAACAGTGGACTTGAAGAGTGCTTATAAACAGTTGGCGGTTTCTCCTCGAGACCGCTGTCTGAGCATAGTGGCCATCAAGGACCCGGTCTCGGGGCTTGCGTTTGGCTTCGAGAGCCGAACCCTTCTGTTTGGGGCCACCTCGTCGGTGGTCTCATTCAATCGCGTTGCAAGACTGCTCCAAAGGGTTCTGGTTGCCTTGCAGGTGCTCGCCTGCAACTACTTCGACGACTATCCGGTGTTGGAGGTCCTGCCGCTTTGCAACAACACGCAGTCAACTATCAGAGCTGTGCTGGACCTGTTGGGTTTCACATGGGCAGAAGATAAGGATCTTCCCTTCAGCCATGAGGCTGAGCTTTTAGGCGTTCGGGTTGACCTTGGTTGCTTTGGGGTAGTTAAGATTGGGAATAAGCCCGAACGTGCAACTTCCATTGCTGACGCAGTGGACTCCGTCTTGAAAGCGGGCCATCTTGATCCGAAGACTCTGCCATCATTGTTCGGTCGCTTGCAGTTTGCAGAGGGTCAGCTTCACGGGCGATTGGGCAGATTGGCACTGGCCGACCTCAGGGCGTGCACGATGAGTTCTCAGGCCAAAACCCTTGATGCCACGGCTGTGCAGGCCCTTTGTAATCTTAGGTCCCGGGTTCTTGGGGGTACCCCTAGGATAGTCCCGGCTTGTGTGGGGTCTCGTCGTTCTGTGATTTTCACAGATGGAGCGTACGAGCCGACGAGTGAAACTCACCCCGCCACTGTCGGAGGAGTCTTGTACCATTTCGACAACGGCGCGTGGTGCACTTTCTTCTTTGCATGTGCTATCCCTTTGAGCGTTGTACAGAGCTGGGAGGCTCTCGGGAAAAGGCATTTGATAGGCCCAGTTGAGATGTATGCAGTGGTATGTGCGAGAGAAGCTTGGGCGAAGCACTTGGACATGCAAAGGGTGACCATGTATGTGGATCACTCCGGAGTGTTGGCCTCTTTGGTGAAGGGCTCTTCGAAAGACCCTTTGTGGAGGCAACTCTTGCTGATCTTTGAGAGCTGCGACGCAGAGGCGATGCTTCCTTGGTTTAGCCGCGTTCCAAGTGCAAGTAATCCGGCCGATCCTCCTTCGAGAGCTAAGTCAATCTTTCCAGTCAGGGGGCAGGTGTGCAGAGTGTCGCCTCGATGCCCGATCAAAGGCAATGCCACGATTGATCTCCTTCTTAAGTGAATGGGGTGTTCGTTGGCGATCCTCGTGTTCGCCATCGATCGGTGCGGGGATGTCACGACTTCCCCCTTCGGCTTTGCCGGAAGGAAAAAGCGCCACATCTGCTTGAGCAATTTTCTTATTCTTTATATACTTTGATTTTCCCATATAGCTTGGGAATACTGTGATTGGAATCTTACATCAGAAATAAAGCAAAGCTCCGTGGAAAATAAGCGACACATGAGGCTTGCCTCTATTAGCTTTATTTTCCTAGGAGAGTTTTGAAAATTACTGCGAAGTTTTCAAAACGCCTTTGCTTTAATTTGAACCACATTTCATGGCATGAATGCATGCTTTGAATCGTCTGAGTTCATCTCTTTTATTTCCCGCGCCGCCTCGAGACAGGGGTGGGATGGGTGGGTAGCTGCACCCTGGCCAAAGGGCCGGAAAATTTTGTCCCTCCCTCCACTCCCGGGGTGTTCGTTGGCGATCCTCGTGTTCGCCATCGATCGGTGCGGGGATGTCACGACTTCCCCCTTCGGCTTTGCCGGAAGGAAAAAGCGCCACATCTGCTTGAGCAATTTTCTTATTCTTTATATACTTTGATTTTCCCATATAGCTTGGGAATACTGTGATTGGAATCTTACATCAGAAATAAAGCAAAGCTCCGTGGAAAATAAGGATTCCTTGAGGATCAGGTTGGCGACTCCGAGTTGCTTCCTGCGTTGTGCCGGCCTCGCACTTCCGATTTGGAGCCAGAGCTCTCTCCTGAGGAGCTGGAAGCCCTTGACGTCATTGCTGATGGAGTCGAGATTGCTAGGCTTGAGGGCATGAGTGTTTTGCTTCCTGAGACAGCAGTGCACAGCAAGGAGTATGAGGGTCAGGAGCCCACTAAGCTCACAACGCGCATGGTTCGCACATGGCGCGAAAAGCAGATCGGTGATACTCCGGTCTGGTACAGACGCAGCAGATACGTTGCTCGCGAGTATGCTTGGCTTAGTGAGCGTCACGACCTCTTTTCTCCTGCTTCCACAGCTCTGTCGAACCGCCTGCTGCCGATCCACTTTCTGTGCCACGAGCCTGATCATGACGATCCATGGGTCATGGTCGCCCTCGACATTAGCGACGCTTATCTCAGCGTCAAACAGACCCGCCTGGTCATTGTGCAGCATGCTGGTACCAACTATGTGTTGGGCCGCGTCCTTCCAGGACAGCGTGATGGGTCTAAGGAGTGGTATGTGGCATTTTCCACTTTCCTTGATGAGGCCCTGGGCTTTAAGAAGTGCGATGCTTTGCCTTCGTTGATCCGTGAGCCCGCTTCCAAGTTCAGTATGCAGATGCATGTGGATGATTTGCTTGGTGCAGGAAGCAAACGGTTTTTGGAGGAAAAGCTTAAGCCCACTCTTGAATCCAAGTATCGTGTGAGTGTCCACATTTTGGAGAAACCTGGAGATACCATTTCCTTCTTGAAGAGGCATCACACACTTGTTGCTGAGGGCAAGATGCTGTTGACTCCTTCTGCCAAGCATTTTGAGAAACTGTTTTCAGTGATGAAAATCGATGAGCGCAGCGCTCCCAAGAAGACGCCCTACGCGTCCTTGCTTGATGAGGTTGACCACAGTGAGACACTGCCGCCTGCAGATGCAAAGGCCTTCCGATGTGCCATTGGGATACTTCTTTACTTAGCTGTCGATCTGATTGAGTGTCAAGGGGCCATTCGTGCATTGAGCAGTTACATGACTTCGCCTACACGCAATGCTCAAATTGCCCTGCGCCAGCTGTTGAAGTATCTTCTTGAAGGGCAGCACCACGGCCTTCTTCTTGATCGAAAGCACTGCTGCGGTGGAGTGTCAAGAGAGATCCCATCAACAAGCCAGGGCGTGCTCTGCTTGGAATCGTTTTCAGACGCAAACTGGGCGTCGAGCAAAGGATCGCGTAAATCCGTCAGCTCTGGAATGGTGTTCGTAGGAGGCTGCCTCCTGTACAGCAGCAGCCGGACACAAAGGGTGATAGCCTTGAGCTCCGGAGAAGCCGAACTTTTGGCTGCCACCTCGACGCTGTGCGACGCGTTGTTCGTCAGGCAACTGCTAGCCTTCATTGCTGATGTTGATCCTCCACAGGTGCACCACTTTCTTGACGCGACTGCTGCGAAATCGATCATGGAAAGGAGCGGCGTCGGCCGCGTGCGACACTTGAGTGTCCGTGTGCTTTGGTCTCAGCAGCTTGTGGCCGAACAAGTGATCGCCCTTCACAAGGTTGGAACCTCTGTCAACGTTGCTGACTTGAACACCAAAGGACTCTCCAGGAGCCGCATGCTCCTGCTGTTGAATCTCCTTGGATGCTGGCACACGTTGCATGAACGCTTTGTTGGGGAAGACGAGATTGCAGAGTTGCACTACAAGCAAGCCATGAAAGATGCTGTGCGTGCGGTGCGTGCTTCCTCCACCGGCGCTGTGAGCAAGCCCATGATCCAGGCCATTGTCATCGCTGTTGTGAGCGCCTTGAGTCGTGCTGCGGATGTTTCTGAAGGTGATGACAGCTTGGCTGATCAGGACGATGGCTTGCCTGACTGGGCCAATCGGGTGCTAGTGTGGTTTCTAGGCTTGTGGGTACGCGACGACACTGGCGTGTCTGTCATCGACATGCTTGTGCAGCCCCATGCTTTGGTCCTTGCGTGCGTGACAATGCTGATGCTTGTGTTGTGCATCCGCACTTTGTGCTGCAGGGTGTCTGATCGCGGCCAGGTCAATGTGCAGATCGCTGGCCCTCGTGATCATGTCTCCTTTCAGTTTGATCGCCAGCTCAATTTGCATGTTGGAGTTGGTGCGCCTGGGACCCCTACGAATCCTCTGTCTTTCGACTTTGATGGTGATGATAGCCCTCCACATGTTTTGTCCGCGCTACGCAAAGGTGCAAGGTCCAAAGCTTCTACCAGACCAGGTCCGAGGTACGAAGATGAGGATGCTCCTCATCCCGACGCGAGTTCGTCAGCAGCACCGCCCACTGGTGCGATGAATGCAGTGCAGGCTCATGTGCCTCCTGCTGACCATGCATCAGCACCTGGAACACCAGCAGAGTCAATGAGTTCGCAGCTTTCGACGCAGTCGTTCCGCGAGCTGCACGGGTACCCTATCGCCGTGGCACGGAGGATGAACCACCGTGGGGGCCTCGTGTGGGTGTCGCACACGGGCCGCTGCTATCATCGTCTCCGGTGCTTTAAGCTTGATGGGTGCGATCGTGTGAAGGCGTACGAGCGCCACGAAGCACAGAACCGCGGACTCCGTGCGTGCAAGAAATGCAATCCATGAGAATCGGCGATAAAGGCCTTCTTGAATGCTGCTTGAAATGCTCCTGATGCGATGTTGCTTTGGTGTCTGCACTCGGCGTGTAGATACCATGGGGCATCTTGTATATACGCTTGGATGCTCATGTTGCTGGGCCCTGGGCCTTTTCCACAACTTCTTGCGTGTTCTATCTTGAGCATAGCCTCGTGGTTTTCTTGAATGTGCACATGGTGCATTTTGCACCATCAATACTTGTGACGCATGCCATTTTGGCAAAACCGAAAATGTGTGCACTTTGAGTGCACTGCTGACACGTGCAATGGCGATGATGCATTCCGCCACTGCTGGACCTTAATTAGGAGGTTCTAATACTTTTAGTCGTTGGTTGTAGGCTTCCTTCGGCTGTTTTGCGTACAGGGCAAACACTTTCTTGAGTATCAAATTGTGCTTGCATGATCCCGCATGAATTGCGCCATCCTCACTCTGCGCTTTGCTTCAAGTCAGTTTTTCAGCACTCACGTGAAGCAGTTGCCGACACTACCTCTTGTGCCTGGTCCGCTTGCCCGAGTCAAGCATGCAACAGTTGGTGTGGGATGCCTCTGGCGTCTCCCATCGACTTCCGTAGGCAGACAACGCAAACGCGTTTTTAGTTTCTAGTGTCAAAGTTGGTAGTTAACGGTAGGTCAAGCCAACGACCGTTTCGGCAGCGCTTGTGCACGCGAGTGAAACCTTTCGTCTGGAGCTGTCGTGAACTAGTTGCACGTTGTTTACTCTACATACCGGCCTTAATGTAGCTTTGAGCTTTACGTACAGTGTGGCTTTGGAAGTCGCAAAGTTATGTGAAAGCATTGGCCTTAGTTGGACTTCGGCATGCTTTAGGCGGGGTGCAAAACTTTGCACACCTTGTATATGTACTCGTACAGTATGTACACGTATTTTCCATTTGTTTTCCTGGCCGGTATTTACATGTGCATTTGTTTTACTTGTGAAGCTCCTTATTAATTCGTTGAGCCCAATGTGCTGACTTGTGTACTCCGCAGGCGCTTGTGTTTGAGTGAAAATTAGCAGAACTTGACCCCTGAAGAGATGCAACGTCGGCAGTTGGGACGGCGAATTTGTGCCATGTGTTTCAATGCTCCAGACAACCCGCCGCCACCAATAGTGCCGCCAAGGCCGATGCTTGAAAATGGCTATCCTGGCCCTAACAATAATGCCAACAGTGGAGCTGCTGAAGGCAGAGTGCCAGAAGGCAGAGTGCCGGAAGGCAGAGTGCCAGATGAGTTCGAAGGTGGAGTTCGTGATCAAATTTTTTTCGTTTGGAATCTCGCCCGGATGCCTGGTTGACTGGGCCAGCTCGTGCCGAAGGTGAGATTCACGCCTCAGACTCAGATGTGATTGAGGAAGGTGTTCTAGATGTTCGTCTTGGTGAGCTTGGAGGGCGGGGTCGTTTGGGTATTGATTATGGGCACATCTCAGAAGAAGACCCGGGCTGGAGTCAGCGCGGCTCAGCGGATGATGGAGCCCCCTCAGATGTGATGGAGGAAGGTGAGGAGTCCGACTCTGAGGCTTCTTCCACTAATGCTGTTTGTCAGATGGAAGACTGATTATTTTAGCTCACCAGCAAAGACTGCATAGAAGGCAGAGTGCCAATGCAGAATCTGCCTGACAAGTGGCTGCCACCTCGGTGGTCTCGCAATCGTCGAGTGATATGGATGGACTGCTGTGTGCGGTACCAGAAAAACGAGAATCGAGTGAGGGTCTGCCAGTGCTGTATTTGATTGCTTGAGCATGAAGTCATGGTCTGCAACAACTATGCCACATGTGAATTTCAACGAGTGATGTCATCATGTCTGTCTCATCCTTGTGTTGTGATGGATCAATCGACTCACAAGTGTGTCAACTGCTGCATGCGCTGGTTCACAATTATGTTGTTAATTCGAACACTCTTGAGGTTAAGGTGTTACACTTTCCTGGGTAAGACAGAGTGCCATGCACAATGCAATTTGGAGTGCCATGTCTGCAGCAGCAGATGACCCGACTGAAACAAGAAGAAGACTGTTAGCAGACATTCGGCGGCAGTTTGATGCAAACATCGAACTGGAGAAGAGATTCTTGGCCATTTCGAGAGGACAGGATGTTCTGCGCCTTTGCGAAGTTGACCCGTCGCTTCTGGAGTTCCATAATGAAGGTCCTTATGAAGTTCTGCCTGAGTGCAACTATGATGTGATTCTTGAAGCCAGTGGGTTTTCCTGGATGATATCAATCTGGCAACAAATGTTATCAGAAACTTTTCCCATCATGACTTCGTGGCCATGGAAGAAACAGATGAGATTCCTCATCAACTTTTGTCATTGGAAGCGGAACATAAGGCAGAGTGCCAGGTTCCACTTCCTGGAGATCTTTGCAGGGCAGGGCAACCTCAGTCGGGAGATGCTCCGTGCTGGCTGGCAGGGGCTAGCCTTGGACATCAGGTACGGCACAGATCATGATATTCTTTCTGTGAGAGGACTTCGCCTGGCTGTCAATGCTGTGTGTCAAACACACAAACACGGCCTGGTGTGGTTTGGAACTCCATGCTCTTCCTTCGTCCAACTCTGTAAATACAGTACTGGAAGGTCCATTGCCAATGACTGGATGGGAGAACCTGAGCGATCGCTGGCATGCCAAGAAGGCAATCGTTTCATGTATGTGACGCTGCTGTTGACTTTGCTCGCGGCTTTGAATGACAACCGGTTTGTGATCGAGCAGCCTTGCTCCAGCATGCTGTTCGAGATTCCAATCGTCGATCGTGTCATGGGAATGATCCAGGCTATGAAGGTCAAAACCTATGGTGGTGCCTTCGGCCAGCCCATCCTGAAACCGCTTCAACTGTGGAGCAACTGTCAGCACATCAATGGTATGCGGCGCAGCTATCCTTCCCATGTCAGAGGAAGTGCTGGTTGCTTTGATCGAGATGGTGAGAAGTTCACCGGTCGTCCTGAAGATCTTCAGCAGTCAGAGGAGTACACCCTGGAGTTCGGCAAAGCTGTTGCCTCTCATATGATGAGTGATGTCCCAACATGAAGTGTAGGTGAAGGCAGAGTGCCAATAAGGCAGAGTGCCATAATTCTCTAGAGTTAAATGAGCTTGCTTCATCTTTCGACATTCTGTCTTGTTGGTATTCTGCTTTCCAATGTTGGGACTGGGTTGTGCCGATGAAAATCATCGCCGTCCGAGCTGGTGCAGCTGTGCAATGAAAATGTAGAGAGCTTCAGTCACTCCGTGATCAGATGTGTTTGTCGGTATTGTCTCAGTTCGTATGCTGCTGTCGTGCAGGTGGCAATGACCTGGCTGGTGTCTCGACCTCCAGTTGCAGGCATCGGTGGCCTGTGTTAATCATTCCATGTGGTTGTCAGTTCAGTGCCATCTGCGATAGTTTCCTGTCTCAAGTTCGAGTGACATGATGTGGCTGCTGACATGTCATCGTGAGTCTTTGGGTTGATTTCTTAAGAATTCAATGTGTTGTGAACTGGGGCTTGTTACACAAGTGCAGGTGTGTGTCAGTATTTAGTAAGATTCAAGTACAGTGTTGCTTTGGAGGATTTCGGTGATGCTTCTGAAACTGTGGGTCATGCTATTGCTCCGTGATGGGCAATTGCTTAACTTGGAAAATGATGCAAAACTGCCAGCGAGAGCAGCTTGGCTCTCACAGGGCGAACTGTGGTGGCGTCTGGACTTGTTTTTCGATGAGAGCAACAGGAACGGCTCAGAACGTCGACAGTACCACAAATGGTACAACTTCTTCAGTGATCTTCTCAGGAAGACCCCCTTGGCTGCGAACTGGGAGTCACATGTGCAAAGTCAAAAAGGCAGAGTGCCAAACCCTGATGCTGTGCAGGAGGATGTGGCATCTTCCACAGCCTTGGCCCGATTCATGTTGCAAGCATCCTTCGACACAAGGACAGACGCCCACAGGGAATGGTACAAGAGCAAACTGAAGGATGCTATGGTACGTGTGTGTGAAACTATCAGTGATGAGCCTCTGGTCATGCAGTTGGATGAAGGCAGAGTGTCATGGTTTCTTCAATCAGCTGGGTTGGTGTCAGGCTTTGCCGCTTGGATGATGAAGTCGCTGGCAGGCAACACGTCCCGATCTTTGCGTGCAGCTTTGGGAATCTATGTTCAATGCAAGGACGCTGTCTTCATCTCTCCGAGATGAATCTGAAGGCAGAGTGCCACGAGATTGGGAGGAGGTTGAAACTAGCATCTACGACATCATCGCCTTTGCAACCATGGCAAAAAAACACAGAGCGCTTCAACCGTCGGGGCAGGCTCATGGATTTGCCAAGACAGTCTTGAATGCCTTCATGCACATACATGAGTGTCTGTCCGAGACATTGTCAGCCGGCCTCCAGGTGTATGTCATTGGGCACTACTTGAGTGTACATGATGCTGGTGTGCCTGTGACGTCTCGCAGGGCACTTCTGGGCAAGCGTGTTCCATTGAAAAAGACTGTGGACATCAAAAGCATCTGGAAGTTGCTAGAGGGCGCTGCAAAAAGTGGGACCTCTTTGCGACAAGCCCTCATTCTCAAGAACCAGGACGAACGCAGCGACCTGCATGGTTCCTTGGTGATTTGATATGGAGTAGAATGTTGTTTTGTTAACCAGTTGTTTAAGATTAGTGAATTCTTTGTCACACATTCATTTGATGCCACGTACCCGCGCCACAGTCGAACTAAATTCGACTACCGCTCTTGCCATGGCCGACCCGACGTTCGGCTCTTGCGCCAAGCTGTTGGCCAAGTCCAGCAGAAGGTACACAATGTCGGGGGCAGAAGTATCCGCTGCGAACTCTGGGATGGCACCACGACGACCACGACGTGCTGCTTCTTTGCGAGCAGAGGGCGACATAAGCATAGCGCGGGCAAATGCTTGCAGCTGCTAGTGGTCGTTGAGAGCCTTCGCCTGATATCCCCATGGCAGAGCGGGGTGACCCCATATCTCGGCCGAATGGGGGTGGCCTAAGTCTCCGGTCTGCATGAC